GTGAGTTTGCACGTTTGAGAGCTCATATTAGTATGAGAAAGTCTCTAATTACTATGAGAAATAGAGGGAAAATGGTGGCAGTCACTTGTCTACAGAGTACTAGGGAAGGTAGGACTTTCGTCTGCAGCAGCAGCCTGGAGACCGCAGGCTCTCGCCCCTGCTGGCCTCGCTCTCCAACCCTCTTCTGCTTGCCTCCCAGTACAGCTGGGGAGGCCCTGTCATCGCAGTGCAGGTGGAGAACGAGTACGGCTCGTTCAACAAGGATGAGCACTACATGCCTCACCTCCACCAGGTAGGGAGCTCCTGCCCTGTCTCCTTACTTGCACGCCTCCTTCCTCAAGCTGGCTCTTGTCCAGTGTGCATTTCTGGTCCCCTGCCACCTGGGTGACTGGGTTAGGAACTGTGTGTTCTGAAGCTCAATTTCTCTGTGAATTTACAAAATATTCAGGATAATCAAGATGTACTTAAATGACTTTATTATGAGACAAAACTTGGCATTAAAAGATCAATTCTTCTTGTTTGCTGTCTCTATGACCCACATTCTCGTGAAAGCTGGGGGCTGGTGAATCTACATCCACAGTAGGTAATGCTTCAAGACCTTACCAAAGGTGGCTGTCGGCTGGCAGCTCTCTGGCCTGTAGTATCAACATCCTCTCTTCCTTTCCCTCTGCTCCTTCATGGGGGGATGTCTCAGACTAGAGAATAACTGCAGTCCTGTCTGGTGTTCTTTCTGGTTGCTCAGCCCTTCCTGGTCCCTGACATCCCCACATTCAAGAAGCTGATGAGGTTCCAGCCTAAGCTGGACCCCTCCTCAGGGTGCTAAGCAGGATGCAGGGGCCCCGCGGCCAGGCTGGACCCATTCAGACCGCCTTTGCCTGCTTAGCTCTGTCCACAGAGAGACCTGTGGGTGGATGGCCAGGAAAAACTGGGAGAGATGCCCGCTGGACAAGGAGAGGGGCGGGGGCAGGACTGGGCTCCCTCCCATGCTGGATTTGAACGAGGTCTGTGAGTAATTCCCCTCCCTGACTTTTCTCAGGGGCTGCATGGCCACCTCACATACTTCTTACTTAGATAGCATTATTTTTTCTTGATTTTAAAAATTTACCATTCACCTCCACTCCCTGGCCTAAATATGGCTCCATGAACGAACACACGAGATACATGGACAGGGCCCCCTTGCTCTCTGGCTGTCCGTCTACTTCCTATGCCCTTAGCAAATATGATTTTCAGATTAGGTTCCCACCCCCTGCCCCACAGCCATGGCAGGCTTCCTTGTTTCAGGACCCCACAGCGTCAGCCTCTCCCCTTTGACCACAAAGTGCTTCCCACGTCTTTTTCTTCTCCCTGTGACTTACATCTAGATCTTCCCTCAGGGTGTTTCCTAATCAACTCAGCTCTCTTTTTCCCTGGAGGCTTTGCCTAAGGGGTTTCAGAGCCCATGCTCAGCTGATTTTAGGGTCAGCCCCCAGGAAAAACACCAGGCTGAGATGGAGACAGAGATTCTACCCCAGCTGACTAAGCTGCAGATGGTCAGACTCTGAATTCAGCCTTTCTCTAGCTCACACCCTGCCCATGTGAACCCTGCCACATTTATTTCCTAACTTCCTCATATTTCTTTTTTCCATGGGAGTGAGGGAAGTGGATTAATTTCGTTTAGTTTTCTCAACAGACCCTGCTGGAAAGAGGGATTATGGAGATGCTCTTGACCTCTGATAGTGAGAAAGATGTGCTAAAAGGCCACGTCAAAGGAGGTACCAGTTTAGAGTTATTTGAAGGGAGAGCTGAAGCTGTTAGCCAGCCAATTTAAATCTTGAACAAGCCTCGGAGAGAACCAAGTATATCTCTGATGCCTCTCTTTCCCATGTCCATGGAAATGGATCCCAGAGATTTGATATTATAAAAGCTGAGGACTCAAGGTCAAAGCTAAGTTCACTCATCATTTCTATTGCTTTTCCTTGCTCCTGTCTTCCTTAAGCAGAGCAGTACACCTTTCCATATTTCATGCTTTTTCTGTGGCTAGGAGTCTGGATTGGTTCTGGACTCGGCTTAGGACCAGGGCCATCTCCACCACATGGAAAGCCATGTGGGGAACCAGAAGATACTTGTAGGGAACTGGCCTAGGCAGGGTCCCAGGCCTGGGATCCGACAGCCTGAGGCTCAGGGGAGATACATAGCAGATCCTAGTGAATAAGGGAGCAGGATGATTCGGGACGGAATCATAAGGTGACAGCAGTGGGTGGAATGACCAGGTATGAGCGGGCTGGTGGGTCCAGGCGCATATCTGTCAGGTAGTCTTTAGCTCAAGACTAGCTGCTGCTGTAGACTGCTGTTCTTGCCTCCTTTGTAGTGGCTTTCCCCCACATTAATGGGGTACACTTGAAAGCGCACTGAGCTTGGGGCTGGGAAACCTGCATTCCATTCCTAGGTATAATCAAGTCAGGTGACTTGGCCTGGCACACTTCTCTGCACAAAGGGGGGTTAATTTCAACTGCCCTTCTCAGTAAAAATGAATGTCCTTGCAAGTGTCCAATGATGTGGTGATAGCTATGACAGCCCTTTGTGCATTGCAAAGTGGGATACACACAGTATGTCACTATCCTTACTGCTCAGCACACCTTCCCTCCCTGGGGCACGGCCACAACCTCAGCCACACCTCTCCCTTCTTTCTACAGCGTTGGCCACCGTCAATTTGAGAAATCTTCACAATGGTGCTTTTAGACAGCTTCATACAGTGCAGGTAAGACATCCTGGAGATGAAGAGCTGCCTTTTCTCCTGCATGCTGTCCCTAGCCTGCGTTGCTGGCAGCCAGTGAAAACGGGAGGTCTGCTGATGAGGAGATTGCAGCTTTCCCCTGGGGCCTTGGCAGGGTTCCAAAGCCAGTTGGGAGTGTGCATGCCTTCCGGCGTGGGGAAGGAGGGGGAGGACCTGCTTCAATCACCTCTGTTAATGGGTCAGGTCAAGAGATGGCCATGGCCAGGGTGAGGGGGTTAGGTGAGGTCAAACCTCACTACAGCATCAGAAGGAGATGATGTCTTTCCTCTGTGAGGGGAGAGCTCAGAAATGGGCTATATCTACTGCGTATGGAGAACAGGTACCAACTTGTGGTGGGGTTAGCCTTTTTAGCCAGTCTGAGCAAATTACAGGAAACAATGGGCATTGTACAGGAATTTATTTAACAAACATGGATTGAGCAGATCCTACTTTTCTCTCAGTGGTGACCTCCTTTGACAGTTACAATGCCTCTGGGAAGTGTATCCTTTCTCCGCAGAACAGCTAGATCTCTCTCTTCAAGACCAAACACGACTGACTACCGTCTCCCCCCCTTAACACGTTCCTGGTTTTCCTTCATGTCCGACCTTTGTCTTCGTTTCCAGCTGCAGGCACAGGGTTCCTCCCCTCCCTTCAGATCCCGCCCGGCATGGCGCCCCCGCGTCACCAAGGCCTCCTGCAGCTCCTACACCTCCCACACGCTGTTTCTGATGATTGTTTTATCTCTTCCGGGTGCATGTTTTTTCTTGCCTTTCTCTGTGTCTCATAATTTTTAATTGAAACTGAACATCCTGTGTAGGACGTAGATACTGTCTTGGAGATAAGCATGCCTTTCCTTCTGAGAGACAAAAGTTGGGCTGGGTTTGAGGTTTATTGTCACTATGCTATCTTCCATGCATCAGAGGCTTCAAATTTCTCTAGTGATGTCTTGTTTCCAGGGTGACTGCTAGTGTGAC